GCCTCGATCATGCGGTAGAAACCACTCGACTTTCTCCCTACTCCCCAGCTATGGATACTCCCCAGCTATGGATACTTAGACTGTCAGAACCCGGGGTAGAAGAGGCTGCAGAGATTGGTCTAGTATCCAGACAGGACCGAGGATCGGGTGAGTATATCTTTTTTTTTTTAGACACTAGAACAAAACCAGCATATAACCCTTGCAGTGTGGGAGTTGCCCAATGCAAGGGTTCATTTTTATTCTGCCCATAGGTTTTTCTTTAAATTAAGTTTTCTATAACTTTAAAGCCTTACTCCCGAATTAAAAACAAAACACTACACTTGCAGTGGGGCTACCTCCTACACTGCAAGGGTTAGCCACTTGTTTTTGTCTAGGGGAGCTGTGTAAAGGACTTTTACTAACCTGATCCCCACTCCTCCTGGCTCCAGGACTGATGCCCACAGCCTCTTCCCCTTTTCTCTGATGGTTAAGTGCCGAACCTCACAAAGGGGACACAAAGGGACAGTCGCAAGCCAAAAAAAAAATGGAGGCAGGTGAGCGCTGACTGCTGGGGAAGCAGGTAAATAAAAGTCCTCTTCACAATACCCCTAAACATAAGCAGGCAGTTAACCCTTGCAGTACACAGGTGGCTGCACTGCAAGGGGAGATTTTTTTTTTCAATGGAGATGGAGACATGTAAATTTCGTTAATTCCAAAGGGACATTCAGATGCATCGGAATTTCTGAATTCCAACACGTCCAAATGACAAACGGTCATTAAATTTTTTTTTAGATCTGTCCAAATTTTGTTCAAAAACTAAACTCAATCGACATGTAACAGTTCTCTGGCCAATCAGATGTTTTTTTTGTGGCTGTCAGGGGTTACATTACAGGATTGTTCCGAAATGAAAATTTGGACGGATCTGTAATCCGAATAACTAAACATATTTTCAGATCCAAAATCTGAATAACGAACCGAAAAACAAAAAGGAATTTAAAAAAAAAAAATCAGAATAGATCCAAAATTAAACAAAACTAATTTTTTGCAGGGTTACATGTCTGCTAACCTGTATGAGCCATTTGGTAAGCAATCTTACATACTGACAAACGTCTGCAACAATGACATTTTGATCTGTACCAAAAAAGGTTATTTGTAGCAAGAAAGGTTTAACACAAATTTAGGATCGGGCATGTGGGATTAGTCAAGCTGTAAAGGATGCAGACTAGTTATTTTATCTGGGAGTCTGTGGGAGCTGGAAACAAGCTATAATGGAGGAGAACTTTTCTTTTTTTGAGCAATGCCATGTTCAGGAAACTATCCCCTACCTAAAATAAGAAGAACCGTCATGATCAGACTGTCCCGACACTAAAATCTGACTATACTTGATCTTCCAAATATGACATACCATCAGATATTGGACAGGAATGAAGGTGATTACTCTGCAGGCAGACACATCACCACCTTCTGTGTATCTAAGTGACTTCTAACACTTTGGAAGGATTTGACGACACTTCCCGTCCATGGCACTGCTGCACTCTATGCAGGGCTTCAAAAAAAGTGACCTTGAACAAGTCCACCTTTGAAAGCAAAAAAGATTGGCAAGCTCCAGCTCACTTCTCTCTACGTTATAAGACAATGAGGGATCTTTCAGTGATTTATCATTTCCCACGTTTTCAATAACACACCAAGAAAGGCGATAATCAATTATAGAGTTGCAGTAATTCATTAATCGATGCACTAAATGTGCCTCAGCCACACAAGCTAAAAGTGCACAGCTCTTCGGTTGTCAAAAACAGTTTAACCCCTTGCTGAATGAGAAGAAATAACTGACAACTAGTGATTGGAGCTGGAGCAGAGACGATAAATCAGATGTACTGGGGGAGTGCAGGATCATCATTTCACAACTCGCAGCTCTGTTTTCTGGTAAGACAGTGCCCACTACAGGCAGAACAAACGTTTCACCGAGCTTTGGTCCAAGGAAGCAGAAATACGGTACAATGCCTCCTTTGTGAGCCATGCTGTTATTCTGCTGCTTGAATGTTAAGCTTCTTTATGCAGCTGTGCAAAATACAATGGTCAGAGCAGACACCAATGCAAATGATTATCCATAGTGTCACTTTCATAAAGCATATCCCTGGATCGACTTCAGAAAACACACACAGCTCTTCTGATTGGCCGAGACAATGTGTAAATTGGATTTTACGCAGATAAGCAACACTCAGAGTGTGAAATGAGAAATGGCTTTGTTTAATAAAGCAGCAAGTGGCTAAGAACTGCTGTCATTACTGCTGAGTGGAAGCCTTCAGATATTGCAATTGATATTAGCTGGTATCAGGTATGCTAAGGCCTTCTCAAGGATGGATGTATGGAAATTGGAGCAGAAGATGGGAAGCTGTTACCCATAGCAACCACATTTTTCTAGGTTACAGACTAAAAGCTAACCGCCTGTTACTATAGGAACAGCATGCCTATCTTCCTTCATGTTTTAAGAATTAACCCTTTACATATTAAACAGCCTGACTTACCTTCCTGGACGGCTTGAAATGGGTTATTTGGTTCTATAATCTTGATAGTGTGTCCAATCTTTTCGCTCTGCAAGATATCGTCATTGAGATTCAAATCCGACACAGCCAGCTGAAAAACTTCATTGTCCTTCGCTGCATTTTCTTCAAAGATTGCACCTGTTGCGGAAAGAGCCATGAGATCCTGGCATTGCTGAACACCGTGTACATACAGCAGACACATTTAAACCAACACATCCTCATGACTGGAGGCTTTCACAGGAGGGGAAGCTGATACCTCACACAGCAGATTTACCACAGCCAGCTGATACCCTTAATCACCTGATTGCCATGGCCAGCTAATACTCCTAGTCACCTGATTACCATGGTCAGCTGATACCCCAGTCACCTGATTACCATGGTCAGCTGATAACCTTAGTCACCTGATTACCATTGCCAGCTAATTCTCCTAGTCACCTGATTACCATGACCAGCTGATACCCCTAGTCACCTGATTACCATGATCAGCGGATACCCCTAGTCACCTTATTACCATGATCAGCGGATACCCCTAGTCACCTGATTACTATGGCCAGCTAATACTCCTAGTCACCTGAAACCCCTTGTCACCTGATTATAATGGCCTGCTAATACTCCTAGTCACCCAATTACCATGGTCAGCTGATACTCCAAGTCACCTTATTACCAAGGTCAGCTTGCACCCTAGGCACCTGATTACCATGGCCAGCTGTAACCCCTAGTAACCTGATTACCTGATGGTCAGCCTTTACCGTAATCACCGGATTACTCGATATTAATGGCCAACTAATACCCCTAGCCACCATATTAACATGGCCATCTAATACTCCTAGCCACCTGATTACCATAGCAAGCTAATACCCCTAGTCACCTGATTACCATGGCCTGCTGATATCACTTGCCAACTGATCGGCATGGTCAGCTGATTAACATGGCCAACTAATATTCCTAGTCACCTGATTAGCATTGCCAGTCAACAATCCTAGTCACCTGATTACCATGGCTGGTTGATACACTAGTCATCTGATTAACATGGTCAGCTAATTCTCCTAGTCACTTGACTACCATGTCCAACTTATTTCCCTATTCACCTGACTACTGCGGCCAGCTGATATCCCTAGTCACCTAATTGCAATGGCTTGCACATACTCCTATTTACCTGGTTACCATGGCCTGCTAATACTCCTAGCCACCAGATTAACATGGCCAACTAATACTCCTAGTCACCTGATTACCATAGCCAGCTAATACCCCTAGTCACCTGATTACCATGGCCGACTAATACAGCTAGTTATTTGATTAACATAGCCAGTGGGTACCTTTTCTTATGTGACTGCCATGACCATTTAACATCTCTGTTTAGCAATTTGCTCATACTCCTGCTTATATTCTTGCCACAGTCAGCAAATATTTCTACTCACCTAATTGCCATGGTCAGGTGACATATCTACTTACCAGATGACCATAGCAAGGGGACACCTGCACTCGCCTGATTACTGTGGCCAGGTGACACTTCTATTTAGGTGACCATGACCTGGTGACATGGTCACCAGGTGATCATGACTAGGTGGCACACTAGCCTCAAGAGTAACTAAAACCAGCTGTCCCTGCCTTAAAATAGCTATGCTTTCCCAATACAACTTTCGAAAAATATGTGATGCATACAGCATTTTCATTATTATTCCTCCGTATGCAATATTTATTCTAGATTTACTAAAAGACAAGTAAATGTCAGAAAACAAATGTGGCTCTGTCTACATGTTCTTTATAATCGTGCTCCTGCCATCTGATGCATTACACATCCCTCTCACCAGCATTTCCCCAGGTATTCTTCCTACGATCTCTTTAGAAATTCAATGCAGGAACTCCTGATGTATTGCGGGCCATGTGTGTGCAATTAACGCTGTACATTCCAGCGGTCACATCTCTATAAGATGCTGGGAGGATCGGAGCTTTGTCAATGATTCCTGGGGGACTTGGCCTGAGATCTGCCAGTCACAAACCCCATTGCTTATTCACTATCAGTGCATCAACTCCACGGGAGATTTTCATCGGTGTGAGCATGAGCTTTAACCCCTTCATTGCCACCTTAAGCTTTTGTAGACCGCTGGCATCAAAGACTTAACTCTCATGCTTACCGGCGATGATAGGTTACCTGTAGCTGAGCCTGATATCAGTACCCAGTGGATGGCTGAATTCCCTAAGGCTGGGCACCTGTTCATGGGTATCCAGCCTGCACACCACTCCGGTGCCCAGTATCTGTATTTACACTAGCTCACTGCTTGCACCTCTTGGCTATAAGTGACCGACACGAAGTACTGATATTTCTAGGATGGCATAAAGTGGCAACTAAAAGGGCAAAGTTACAGTGGGGCGACATTGGTGCAACGGTATCCGATTTTAATGGTGAATATGTCTCCGCTGGGTCTGGATGAACAAACCCCTGTACTAATACGAGCATAAGTTATCAGCCAACGTTCTAGTTCAGCTCTCCGGCAATGAAAGTTCTTGCCATGCCATTTAATGGATCCGCAATGCTGTGGGCTAGGACAGGCTCACTACACCTACTCGTGGTTCTAAGCATGGCCATGGTCTTATGAGAGAGAGAGGTCCTGGTCCTACACCATGAGCCCATGATGAGCTGGCCCACATAGAGCACACAGGCAAGCAGCCCCTTTAGCCCTTCCCATAGGCACAAGGCTTGCCCTTCTTCTCTGTCTGCCTAGATTAGGTATGCCATCTGCTGTATGTGACATCAGTATTACCTCGTCCCATTCATCCTGCCAGGCGCCTAGGTCTGGGCTAAGCTGCTGGATCTGGGCTCATCTTGGACGTGCCTGAGCATTTTTTTTTCCTCAGCTCTAATCTGCATTAGTCCTGTGAATTTCTGCTATCACACTGCGGTTCCAGTGTCTAGCTCTCAGCTTTGTATTGCCAGCAGCACACATGCAGCCTTGTCCTTCCTGCCATTCATCCCCTGATTAGCACATCTCCTATAGCAGCTGCCCATACAGTGCATTCCCATTTCTTCCTTCATCCTTCACACAGACATGGAAGTTCCCCCTATGTTAGCTGCCAGCCTCTGTCCATTGCATGCTCTCTATGACAGCTACAGCTGATAGCAAATCGTATAAAAAAATCACATGGAGCAAGTGCTGCCTATACTGTCCCCCTGGCCTTCACCTGTCAATGCCAAGGCTCCTTATGGAGATGTGCGCTGTCCATGGTGCTAGCGGACACTACACAGCCAGTTCTTGGCTAAGCAAACAAGTTTGCACTGATCAGTTCATTGAAGAGAGCAGCCAGCATTCCCATCTGCCTGCTAGGGAAAATAATGCCCCCCCACATATAAGTTTGCCTGGAACCCAGCGAGCGACTGCAGCACAGAGTTGGTGGGAGCTCCTGGAAAGAGACAGATCCCCCCCCAGGCCCCTGTACCCCATGGTGACCACCATTATCTTACCAATGTGGATGATGGAGTCCGCCCGTACAGAGAAACACGGAAATATCCAGGGCAAAAAGCAGAGCATCAACACTTCCATTTCCAGCCTCTCAAACAGCACATCAGCTCGGATTTTGTTGGTGGTACCCAGGGAAGAATGATGCAAAGGAGCTCCAGGTAAGGCAATGCACGCACACACACTGCACACAGGAGGAGATCGCAGCCTAGATCCTGCTAGATTTAGCTTTTCAATATGTACAGTAGCTCTGATTTTGCTTAGACAGGGAAAAGCATAGACTTGCAGCTCTCTCCAACACTCTATGTGTGTCTGAGACCCAACAAACAGCAAACTGCGGAGGACCCCCCAACCCCCTCCTCCTCTTCTCCTACCACGTGATTGCAGAGCCTCACCACTCAATATAGTCTTGGTGAAAACACTGAGAGATGGAGAGATGAGCTCAGATGGGGAACACTGGAGCTCAGTTTCACAGGAGCATCTTAGAAAAAAAAAAGGCATAGGCACAGAGCTGCTAGGCACATAAGCTACCCAGGGCTGGGAGTGTGTGTGTGTGTGTGTGTGTGTGTGTGTGTGTGGAGCTGAGCTGAACTGTGTGCATGAGGAGTGCAGTTCATTGGATTTAATTGATAAAGTGCAACACACAGCTCAGCAGTCAGCTGGATCTGGGTGCCTTATTGCCAGCCATATCAGAAACGGGATAGCTAGTGGGGTGCCATTGAGGGGAGCAGAGTTTGCTGGAGGAGAGAGAAGTTTGCTGAAGAATTAGAGGACATGGAGATGGACTTGGACTCTTGGAAAGAAAGGTACTGCTGTCTACTGGAGTGTACCTGTTTGATGCCAAGGAATCCTCCTATGCTACAAGCTGACAGTGAGAATTGAGGACTGATACTGGAGAAACAAAGCATGCTGTCTTGAGGATCGCTACAGGGAAACTTGTTGAAGAGCTCATCCTTGAGAACAACCTATTGACATCCCAACTCTTTAATTGACAAGTGGATAACCTTTTTTTTTTTTTTTAGATGGGGTAGGTGTGCTACAGTAAGTCCACCACCCACAACAAGCTTTGAACTGACCATTTAAAGGAGAGACTGTAACGCAAGCCCAAGAAAGATCTATTAACTTTTCAACAACATGGAAGTAGACCCTGATCTTTGATGTGTGCGTTCTCTAAGTGGGGAGGATACATGGCTGATTAACACTCTTCATCAATTCTGTGTAGAATATTTCCATCACAGCTGGTTCCTTAGCCTGCATTTGATTTCAGCTCTGAATAAAGCCAAGCGGCAGACCCACTGTGATCGCCTTATGTGAGTGCCATAAGAAGCCCCCTCCTTGTATCATCACCGGGAAAGACCTAATTGATGCTTCCTAATCAACATCCAGCTATGATCTCTCTCATTAGTAAAATTTCAGCGTGCAGCCTCTGCTTTGGAAAAGCCAACGTGGACAGGAAAAAAATATATCTCTTTAAAATAAATTATTTACCCACAACCTACATCTGCATCCTTTGGTTCCATCATTTTAACTCTCCGGTGGCCACAGAGGAGAGGCTCCATGACCTGGCTAATATCTCCTGCTGTAAGCATGGCTGATCCATGCCTGTGGATGAGATGGTCAGTGCCACCCAACCATTCAGCTACAGTAAAAGTTGTCCAGTACTTCTGCTATCATTCTTCATACTGGCTATGGAAGTGTTAATGGCTTCTGTCTGCAAGGCAGCTCTTCCCATACACTGTACTCAGAAGATTGTATCATTAACATTGACTGCGCTTAGCTTGTGGAAGCATCAACTGGAGCTTCTCCTAGTGCTGGCTGAGTATCTAATGAATGTAGCAATCGCAGGAATTGCCATGGCTTTATTGTAATCATACCTCATACGTCTTAATACGGATCATGTTGAGTAAATAAAGGCTTCATCAGAGGAGGAGTTGTCTTTTATTTCTTTCAGCAGAGTGGGGCAGTGAATGAGGGGGCATAGCCCAGAGACAGCACTGAGTGTACTGCAAGCAATGGCAGTAATTGTGTGAGCATTGATCAGTCCCTACAATACCTGATTCTTTATTCTGTCCATATACACAGACAACCTTTTCTTTACTGTCATCTAAAGCTGCCAATCATGAATCTTCATGTATAGGCTTGGAAGGCAATACAAGAAAAGTGCTGGCACTTGTCTACACTGCATTTAATGTAGCAGAAAGGTCGTGCGCAGGGGGGGGGGGGGGGGGGGGTTAAGGGTTTTATAGTTCTTCTTAGGAAAGAAGATTGAGAAGATCTGTATTTATATCACGGGACTATTTCTGAGAATGCTAGTTGCCTGACTGTTTTATGATTCTATGGTATTACTATATACTGACTGAATTGCTGATCTTACACAAGTATGCAAGTTGCCTGCTGCACTTGTTCACGGTCTGCGACTGCTGAAGCCAGGGGATCAGTATGACTTCCAGGCAAATAAGATGGTTAAAAGGGGGTTGTGAACAGCAGAGCCAGTGTTTCCTGGAGAACAGTTCTTCCTTATAGCTGAACTGCAGACAGATATAAAAGGTACAGATTATGGCAGCTCTGTATTTTTTCATGAATCCATTTTTAAATGCAAGTTGTGTACACTAAGTACCTGAATGCGACCTGCTATCCGCTTGTTGCAATGCTGTACAGTAGAGCTCAGACTGAAAGGGTTAAGACGAAGAAGGAGCCAACATAATGGGCACAAATTCACAGAGATATGAGTCCATTAGGCTGATGATGCTTCTTTTACCATCCGTTCACGGGCTGGGGAAGGACAAGACCTGTAAGTGTTATTTAAAAAAAAAAAAACATCTGCCCTGCTAGGTATGTGCTGTGTGGCAGAGCAGTGTAAATCTCAGGACTGTATAGACAGGCATACACTGTCAGGTAGAACAGCTTACCTCTGTACTTCATCTGTGTATTTAGCTGTGGCAGGAGCTCTGCTTTATGTACTGCATTCTTCATTAAGGTGAACATCCACAGCCAAAACGCAACAGAGAAGTCCACGCAGATATAAAAATGTGCATTTTGTCCCAATTTATTGTAACTAAAAATATGATAACATTACTTTTCAATTCTGCTTTGTATATATACACATAAATCATTGTTATTTACACCAAATTCCACACCAGCTGAAATTTAAAATCAGTGGGATGTCTGTGCTGACTCCTGAGTCACCTGACAGGGCAGAAAGCAGACATAATGGACACAAATTCCTAGAATATGTAAATTTAAAGTATTCATAACAACTGGAGCAGACACAAACTAGAGCCGTTGTCCATGGCAACCAATCAGATTCTCTTTTCAATTTGTTCAGTTAAGCTTTAAAAATGAAACAGAGAAGCTGACTGGTTGACAAGGGCAACTGCTCGAGATGTTGTTGTTTTTTAATTCTGAGATTAATATGTTGGCGGTCATTGCTGACCTCTCCTTCAGAAATTGCTAATTTCCTGGCTGCCATGCTGAGCTTCTTTCATTCCATTCAAACCTGAATCAAGTGTGAAGATTGGGAAATATGACTTCAATTACCACAGCCATGTCTCTGGTCAGGGACACAGAGGATTGAATCCAGACACAGCCGGGCAAATAGCATTTTCTAAAAGATGTCAGCTATGACAGGCTACTTCTTTTTCTCAATACAGATGTAGCTTCTGTGCTCGTTCAAGTTAATGACAGGGTGGCAGCTGCCGTATCTGTCAGTGGCAATCTACACCGCACAGCACGTGCATCGGGCAATGTACACCACACAGCGTGCACACCAGGCAATCGACACCACATGCGCACCGGGCGATCGACACCAAAACACGCACACAGGGCAATCGACACCACGTGCGCACTAGGCAATCTACACCACACCGCACGCGCAACGGGCAATATACACCACACTGCGCTTGCACCAGGCAATCTACACCACACTGCGCTTGCACCAGGCAATCTACACCACACCGCACATGCACCGGGCAAGCTACACCCCACAGCTCTTGCACCAGGCTATCTACGCCACACTGTGTGTGCACCAGGCAATCTACACTACACAGCACGTGCACCGGGCAATCTAAACCATACATATACATACACATATACATAGGTCCTCGTATCAGTTAATTCTTAATTGTACCTGTACCCCTGTATGTTATGGTTTCTCAGGAAATCATCCACATGCACCAGGCAATCTAAACAATACAGTGTGTACACCAGGCAATCTACACCTCACTGCACATTCACCAGGCAATCTACACCTCACTGCACATTCACCAGGCAATCTACACTTCACTGCACATTCACCAGGCAATCTATTGGTCATGAGAAGTTATTGCGGTAAAAACTGGCTAAAGACATCAGAACATGGAATCTGGTCACAAAAGACAATATAACAACCTACAATACGTTAAAAAAATCTGAATAGAAAAAAGTTACAGTTTAAATACTGAAAGATCTTTTTCTGGCGTACATTCACCAGGCAATCTACACCTCACTGCACATTCACCAGGCAATCTACACCTCACTGCACATTCACCAGGCAATCTACACCTCACCGCACATTCACCAGGCAATCTACACCTCACTGCACATTCACCAGGCAATCTACACTTCACTGCACATTCACCAGGCAATCTATTGGCCATGAGAAGTTATTGCATTGAAAACTGGATATAGAGGTCAGATAATGGAATCTGGTCACAAAAGACAATATAACAACCTACAATACGTTAAAAAAATCTGAATAGAAAAAAGTTACAGTTTAAATACTGAAAGATCTTTTTCTGGCGATTTGGACTGGACACCCATGCAGAAATCATACTAAACATGTTACCCCATTACTTGAGACAAATGTCTTTAAGTTTTGGATATAGTGGTGAAAGTTAAAGACCAACTCTGGGCAACATACATTTGCAGGGGACTTCCCAACCAACCCACTGTCCCCCTCTCACTGCAAAGGTTAAATGCTCATTAGGTCTAGGGGTAGAGGAATAAAGTGTAATAATGACCTTATTCCTCATGTATGTGGGCCCCTCCATCTATCCAACCAGTTCCCTGAAGCCTCTTCTCCAAGATACTTCCAGCCAATCACACATTTCCATCTGTGGCCTCATGGGGGATGAATTTCCTTAATATAATGCCCCTGTGACACCAGGACAAGAAATGGGATTAGTGTCACAGGAACAGGAAGGTGAAGAC